GAGGAGGAGGAGGAGGAGGAGGAGGAGGAGGAGGAGGAGGTGTTTCTTGGAAATTTGAAAATGCAATAGATGAACTGCTTTGTTTGTGCGCAAAGAATTTGAAGGGAAATGAGACAAGCTTAGAAATTTAGAAAATTTTAGTAATCGTGATAGTTAGGACCATAACAGAGAGCTGCTGCAGAGTTCTATCGTTCCTACAGTCCAGGATAATTGAGTGATGCTGAAACCTGAAAGTGTCACATGGAAGAGAAGGAAGAAGCATATCGGGTTTAGAAGGTTACTGCTCGGCAAAGGGAAAGAGATGTGACAGATCAGCAAGACAATTGGAGGTCTACAAAGCAGTGAGGAAAATGCAAATGAGAATGCAAATGAGAGACAAAAGGGGAAATGGCTGGATTAGGGAGCATGGTGGGATAAGATTCCTCATCAACTGATAACGTAAGGAAAACTGGCCGAACAGTCGTCAGTTGAAGATGATTGGGGGTGAGGCTGAGCCTCTGAAGAGTTGAATTGTCGATTTACAGGGGTAAGAGTGTGCACCGTGCGTGCAAAATTTCCAAGCACACGGCTCTCCATCCAATCAGTTTGGCAAGTACGACTACTGCCTGTTTCCCTTCCATTTTCATGTACTGATGCAAACCTGTACGCCTTGTAATATAACTCAACATTGTGATATGGACTCACAAGCAGGGACATTGTACAGCAAGCCTGTATCATAGTATCATCTGTTATTGGCATTTTTGACTGATCTTTCCCGCCACGAACAACTGCTTGGAGGGATGGTATCAAAAAGGGTATCAAAAAGGGTATCGAGAAGGGTAACAACCATGGTTGCCCCGGACCCGGACAACCAGACAACCGGACACGGACACCGGACCCGTGTCTGGATTAAACCGGACATCAAACTGGACACCAAGACATCCGGACCCAGACAGTCCGGTTTGCTGTGTCAGTGTCCGGTTGTCGGGAAACACACACACACACACACACACACACACACGCACACACACACGCACCCACAGATGTGTATAAGAGACAGGCGTGAGGGGGAGGAGGAGGAGGAGGAGGAGGAGGAGGAGGAGGAGGAAGAGGAGGAGGAGGAGGAATGGGGGAGTGGGCAAGGGAAGAGGAGGAGAAGGGGCACAAGAAGGAGAGGTAGGATTGGCAAAATGACACAGTGGGGGCAGAGAAGTTTCGGAGAGCGTATGAGGAATCTGTGGGTGGCTGGTAGTGGGGAGGATGAATCACTGGACGATTTGGCTTTCATCAGTGCACAGTCTACTTGGAGCAGAAGCTGTTTGAAACACAGCTCTGCAGAAGAGGTAGGATGGGAAGAAAGGACTGGGCTGCAGTGGGCAGCGGGTTGGGATGGTGGGTTCAGACAGTGGCAGATGGAAGCCAAGCCACGGAGAGAGATGGGAGGGAAAGCTGAAAAAATCTCACGTGATGCTTCAGTTGAACCTTCTCCTCATGATGGGAGTAAGAATGAAGCGGAAGATAATGAAGAAGAGGAACTATGGGGAATGACTGAGAACTGGCCGCCACGGGAGGATGTCAAAGGGGCTCTAGGATATGGAGGACCATTGGTTAAGGGAGGGGATTGGGAGAGAGAGGAGAGAGAGGAGAGTGAGGAGAGAGAGGAGAGAGAGGAGAGAGAGGAGAGAGAGGAGACAGAGGAGAGAGGGAAGAAGAGGAAATCGATGATGCACAGCTTTATTAGCATTGGCAGTAGGGATGAGGATGGGCAAGAAAGGCAGGAGAGTGGAGATTCAGCTGTAGCAGTCGTATCAGGGACCGTCAGCTGGCGAAGCGAGCACACACGCATAGGGAAGGGGATGACCGTTCAACGATGGGCATTGAAGGGGAATGAAGAAAATGGAGAGAAAGAAGACGAGAGGGGAATAAATGTGGCGGCCGCTGCGGGTGGTCTAGATATATGCAGAAGTGCGGCAGCGGAGAGAAAGCCGGTGGGAGGTGGTTCTGGGAGAAGCAGTTGTTATTGCCAAAGCTATTCTGACAGCAGTCAGCTCTTGACAGAGGATCGGACAACTGTGTCATTTCCGGTGGACCGTTCTCCTTCATCTTGTAACACCAAGCACGGTTGGAAGGCATATCTGCCTGTGCGTTCGGAGAATGACAATGTCAGCCATGCACGTTGTTCTGAGGAGCTAATATCCGAAAAAGAGAAAGAGCTCACGATAATAGCAACAAGTACTAGCTCAACCTGTCATAGTCCCCATTCAAGGGCTTTGACAGATATAGAGCCCAGTAGTCAGGAGAAGCACTGGACTCGTTGGAACTACTTGGCAGAAGGAGAATACCAATCTCCGCGACGAGTGCGAACGTTGGCCAATTCTTACGAAGAAGGGGTGAGAGAACAAGAGAGGGGAATAGATGTGGGTGCAGGTGGTGGTCTACGGAAATGTAGAGCAACGGCAAAGAAGGATGCTCTCTTCAGACGAACATTGAATGAGAAAGGAATCTTGAAGAGCGAAGGTATTCCTAGGGAAATGAGAAGATGGGACCCCCCCAGGGCAATGGAAGTGAGAAAACGGGCGTCGTTGATGGTAAAGAGAGGAGGGATGGGGGCAGTAGAGAGGATTGCATCCATGGTCGCTGGGTTCTCAGCAAAAGGAGGAGGAGACATGGGTGACCAGGCTGCCATGGGGCGTAGTAAAAAGCTGCCAGATCAACAGGAGGCAGTTAAAATTGACAGAGGATGTAGAGCAGGAGGAGGAGGAGGAGGGAGAGGAGGAGGGGGAGGAGGAGGAGGGGGAGGAATGCGTAGAGAAGAAGGAGATGAGGACGAATGGGGATCCCAACCATATTCGATGACCATGGAGCGTAGTGAAAAGCTGCCTGATCAACAGGAGGCAGTCAAAGTTGACAAAGGATGTGGAGGAGGAGGAGGACAAGGAGTGCGTCGAAAGGAAGGAGAGAAGGGAGAATGGAGCACCCAACCATATTCTACATTTCAGGCGGAAACATGGAATAGGACAAAAAGGCACTATCAGGTCCCTTCATGTGCAAAGCTTGGAGCTGAGGTCACTCATTGTGAACCGCCACCAAGGTGGATGTGTGCAACAAGTCGCATGCCTGTCGCTAGTCCTAGTGCATATGAGGATGCCAACATGCCAATTTGTCGAACAGGAGGTCAGGTGATCAAGTCCAAGGACCAGTGTAGGATGCACAACGTGCAGACCTCGGAACAAGGAGTTGAAGACACTGATCATGTAGATGGAGGCATGGGCAGCAGATTTGGAAAGTCTGGCGGCTGTGGACGTGCCAACGTCAAGGGGCAAATGGGCAAAGGGGCATGGTGGGTCCCCTTTGGCACAGGGAGGAAGCTTGAAGTTCAGTCAAAGGGAAAAGGGGCAAATGGGGTGTCTAATGGGGTATACTCAATCGAGAAAAAGAAAGCTGGAAAGAGGGTGCCACACGGAGGGGTTGAACGAACAAGTGTGACGAATGACAGGCGCAAGGCCAGGGTAATAAGCTCATCGGAGTCGGGGCGAAGAGAACTGGTAGGAGGGTGGGTAGGATGGGTAATGCTGGGGAAAGGAAACCCGGTCTGGGTACGAAAAACAGGTACGATCAGATCGCATAACAGACTAAGTCCCGTGGTAGGGGCACCAGCTACCATTGATTGTGAAGGCTTACTGGAGGGGGGATTCAAATTGGACCCTGAGGCTACGATCAGAAGGGACGTGGGAGCAAGAGCAGGGCGCCGACCTATGGAGATCAGTACGTGGGTGGAAGCAAAGGGTGGGTGCAAGTGGGACGTGTGTTGGCGAAGTGCAGCGGATGGGCTTGAGGCTGGAAATCCGATGGAAGAGAGAAGACGACAACATGATGAACATCATGGACGCAATGATGAGGGGAATGGACTTTGCAGCCCTCGATGCGAACTTCCCAAGGTCCCTGCTTCATGGCTAGATGGCCAAGGGGGATTAGCCCTTTCCCCCCTGCAACACAACTTGAAGGTACAAAACAATGGAGATGATGTTCGCCTTAACATACCACTCGGAGAATCTGGTCAATCTGCGAACACTGGTGTGGATGACTCAGTGCTGACACAGCCTGCAGATTCCAGTGCGCATTCCAACAACGAAGAGGTAGAAATAGGCAGCTACAGGGTTAAAGGGGGTGAAGGCACAAGATGTTTGGAGAGAGGGGAGCATAATGAATTGAACCCGGGGTCCTCTGATGTACGCTGGAGGCAGAGTGAGGCTAACAAGGAGCCCAAGGAGGTATTATTTGGATATCAAAGATATCGGTGCAGAAACGCACTCATCGACAGGTGCTTCAAGTGCGAAGATTCCGAAGAGGTACACAGAAGGAATGGTCGTTTTCAATCCAACGACTTACAGTTGGGCGGTAATTGCGCCGGGACAGGACTCATCGCAGGTCATCAAGGAACAGCATGGTGCTCGGTTCCCAGGAGCAATGGTCCCACTGGGAAAGTTAGCAGCAGAGGGACAGAAGCGCTTCAGCACAGTCCAGGTCAGCTGAAGCTTCATCCACAGCTCAGCAGAGCATCAATGTCGGTATGGTCCATTGCTGATGATGTTGACCTGGGATGTAATGCTGCCAATCAGGCAGAAGAACCTGTACAACCGCAATGGCTAGGTTCACACAGCCGAGTGCCCAGGGCAGTGGCCATGCAGAGAGCAGAAAGAGGCTGCAAATCACCAAAAATAAAGCAGTCGTCCAGTGCAAGGCACGTGCGAGGCAAGTGCGAGCCAACAACAGGAGAGGGAGGAGGAGTTCAAGTTGCTCATATTCACCAGGGACGAAGAGATCGGCTCCTAGCTAAGATCGAAGGGTGGGAAAAAGAACCCGGACATGAACATTTATGGATGAAACAAAGAGAAAACGCAGAGAAAGTTCTGCAACAAGAACGGCAGTTGTTTGACGGGATATTGCTCGAGAATGGTGTCGGCGATGAGACCGATCGACTTTCGTGTAGTACTCGCAAAGTAAGGGAGATGAAGAATGGTACTGTCAACTGTTTCACATCAGAGGGGAACACTTATAAAGGGGAAGGCGATAGTGTCCTAAAGACAGAAGTTCTAAATCAGCGTAGCAAGCACTCCAGTCTTCAGATAGTGCAAAGCAACTTGGAGATAATGAAGAGCATGTTAAAGGAGCTGACTGGTAATACCTCCTTGTCGATACCCAATGGGCTAAACAAACCCCTCTGTCAAGGAGGAGGAGCTGAGGAGGAGGAGGAGGAGGACGTGGAGCAGGAGCAGGAGCAGGAGGAGGAAGAGGAGCATGAGGAGGAAGAAAGCAACGACAACGAAGTCGAGGAGGATGGGGACTGCTTATCTGCAGGGGAGGGCAAGGAGGGGAACTCCATGTCTGAAGACTGTGTACACAGGGTTGAAGTTGGAGCTGAACGGCGAAGATCAGAAATTGTTACTTGTTCGACTGCGGGCCCAATGAAACCAAGATGCCTTGTGGGCCCAATGAAACCACGATGCCTTGTGGAAAGGAAGGGGGAAGGCAACCCACTGAAAGAAGAGCAAGCAGAACTTGACTCTGATGGATTGAGTGAAACAAAGAAGTGGTGTTGGTTTGTTGATCTTCCGGAGACTATGGACAGACTAGAGGTAGAAGAAGTGGAAGCTCTGGTCCAATACAATTCATACGAGTAAGGGACTGCTGCAGAAGCTGGCAGCAAGAAGGTAATGGTTGTCAGGGCTTCAAAAGAACGGCGACAGGAAGGACTGAATCACAAAGTGGAGAAGCAGCAGTAACAGCAATAGTAGACACAGAGGGAAGAACACAAGGAGGAAGAGGAGACGGGGAAGGAGGTGGACGCGATGCTTATCACTTAGAACATGTAGATGGATTGAAAGTTAGAGGGAACGGAAGAGGAGGAGGAGGAGGAGGAAGAGGAGGAAGAGGAGGAAGAGGAGGAAGAGGAGGAGGAGAAAGAGGAGGAGGAGAAAGGGGCGGAGGAGGAGGAGGAGGAGAAAGAGGAGGAAGAGGAGGAAGAGGAGGAAGAGGAGGAGGAGGAGGAGAAAGTGTAGAAAGAGGAGGAGAAAAGGGGGGGGAGGAGGAGGAGAAAGAGGAGGAGAA